ACGGCTCGATACAACTGCCGCTGGCTGGCCTAACTGTTTGCGTGCCAGTGCTGCCACAGCTATCCTGGTAAAAGAGGATACAAAGCTGACGTTTGGTCAAGAACTTCAAATTGTGGCCCCTCATGCAGTGGAAAACCTGTTAAAAAGTCCCCCTTATTGTTGGCTGTTGAACTCCAGGATAGTACAATATCAAGCTTTGCTTTTAGACCCCATCTGTGTCAAGTTTTTGCCTACAAAGCTCTAAACCCCGCTGCCCTCCTCCCAGATGATGATCCTGAGCTGCCAGTACATGACTGCATGGACATTTTAAATGTCTCATCTAGCCTGAGGAGCGACCTGACTGATGTCCCCCTCCAGGATCCGGACATCACAACCTATACTGATGGGAGCAGCTATGTCCAGGATGGAATCAGGTATGCAAGGGCGGCTGTGGTCACCAAAAAGGAAGTGATCTGGGCACAAGACTTGGGTCATGGAACCTCAGCCCAGCAGGCTGAACTGATAGCGCTGACCCAAGCCCTGCGATGGGGGAAAAACAGAAGACTAAACATCTACACTGATAGTAGATATGCCTTTGCCACCCTTCATATACATGGGGCCATATATCAAGAAAGGGGACTCCTAACCACGGGAGGACAAAAGATTAAAAACACTCCAGAAATTTTAGACTTATTGGCTGCAGTCTTGTTGCCTCGACAAGTAGCGGTTATACACTGTGAAGGACAACGAAAGGATGATTCCCCAGTGGCCCGAGGAAATACGCTGGTGGACTCTACGGCCCGAGAAGTGTCAAGAAAACCAGTGGGGCCACTAGAGATCCTACCGGTTCTGCCACCCCCGGATTCTAGACAAACCATCTTATTCAGATTGAGACCTCCTGTTGGCACAAAGTCTTTGGGCCTCCCCAACTTCTACTGGTTGGCAAAAAGTGCCAGACCCCTGGATTTTCCTCCCTGAGGCACTTGGCCTTGAACTGGTACATTTACTTCACCACAGTACTCACTTGGGAGGAAATAAATTGTCTGAACTGTTGAGAAAATCATACTTGATTCCAAAACTAAACCAACTGGCCAAGGACACAAGTCACAGGTGCCCACAGTGTACTCAGGTAAATCTAAAAAGAAGGCTACCAGAGATCCACCATCGAGCCAGAGGTACGTCACCTGGGGAACATTGGGAAATAGATTTCACAGAGATGAAACCTGGACCAAACAGATTCAGGTATCTGCTAGTACTGGTGGACACTTTCACAGGATGGCCAGAAGCCTTCACCACTCGGTCTGAGTCTGCCCTGACAGTTGTTAAAAAACTCCTATCTGAGATAGTCCCATGATTTGGTCTTCCCTTAACTCTGGGGTCTGATAACAGTCCAGCTTTTATAGCCCAGATTACAAAACTTGTTTCACAGGCTTTACACATTCATTGGAAGTTACACTGTGCCTATCGGCCACAAAGTTCTGGCCAAGTAGAAAGGATGAACTGAACTTTAAAGGAGGCTGTTGCCAAGATAGGGTTAGAAACTGGCGAAAACTGGGTGAGTCTCCTTCCTTTTGCCCTCCTGAGGGCCTGCTGTACTCCCTATGTTCAAGGGATCACACCCTTTGAGGCAATGTACGGTCGAGCCCACCTCTTCTCCCGAAGCTCGGGGAAGAAATTCTCATGTCAATCTCTAACCAAGAGCTTGTTAAGTCCTTACAGGCACTTCAGTCTTCACTGCAGGCAACTCATTCTCTCTTCCGACACCTGCGACCAGAGCCAGAAGAACAGAACAGCCCTCCAGCCGCTGAGCCTGGTTCCTTGGTGTGGATTAAGAAGAGGGACCCAGAGACACTTGGACCACGATGGCTTGGGCCATACCTGGTGGTCCTCAGCACCCCCACCACAGTCAAAGTAGCCGGAAAGAAACACTGGATCCACCACACCCACTTCAAGCCGGCTGCCAAGGCGGACACCCCAGCCATGTGGACTGTCTGAAAGACATCGGATGCACTCAAGATCAAGGTTGTATGTGGGTCGTCAAACTCTGCCTAATCTGGTTCTTCCTTACAGGTCCTGGTCTCAAGGCAGCCACCCCTCCCCGCCACACGCCGCTAAAGTATACTTGGTGGGTCACCCAAACCATAGATGGAAAAAAGCTTGCTGAAAACTATACGATTAGAATCCCCATGCTCACCTTTGACCTCTGTGATCTGTTTAGTAAATCATGGAATCACCCATCTGATAGGCTCCAAGAGGGAGGCTATAAGAGGGGAGGCCATGCCGGGGTAAAAGGCTAAGGATGTGGTTCCCAGTCTTTAGAACAGGGGCTCCAGGACTCCCAGTTTTACATTTGCCCCTCAAGTGCCAACCCAGATGCTTGTGGAAACCATGATGACTATTACTGTTACTCCTGGGGCTGTGAACAGATAGCCCCTTGGAAAAATACAGACCCCTTCCTGCAAATGACCCGAATCCAGACTGACTGCCGTGTTGGGGCTTGTAACAAAGTACTCCTCCAGCCCCAGCGCCCTGCGGACACCAACTGGAGAGGAGGGAAAACCTGGGGTCTCAGACTATATGTAACTGGATATGACCCTGGGATGCTCTTCACCATTCAAAATAAAATGGGCCAAAGCCTTCCCCCTCTATGGCCAATAGGGCCCCCAGATACCTTTGTTTTGCCTCCTCTATCCCTGGAAAAACCATCGCCCCAAAGTCCACAGTTAACCACTGAGAGAGGATTAACCTACACAGTTAACCTACCTCTGGATCCAAGCCTACATCAATTTTCAGGACCCTAGAATTTATGTTTCAATATTTAAATTGAACCTCACCAAACATGACCCAGGATTGTTGGTTATGCCTAAATCCTGAACCCCCTTATTACATAGGAGTCATGGCCAATGCCACTGTTGGCTGTGATGGGACCACTGTCCAAAATAAAACTGATATTTCAGATAATTCCCCATGCTGGTGCGGACAAAAACCAATCCTCACCCTGGGGGATCTCCCAGGACAAGGTTTATGTGTAAAGTCACAGGCTTATAATTTAGCTTCCTCCCCCTGCAAAGGTAATTGTGTTACCGTTCTGAGTGTAGTCAACATCTCCTACTCGCCCAGTTTGCATTTAGAAGCCCCTGCTGGTGCCTGGTTTGCCTGCACTAATGGTATTACCCCTTGTATCTTTCATCACTTTATGACCACTGGACGTCCTGAGCTTTGTATCCTTAGCCATATCTTTCCACAACTGTACTATTACTCTGGGGAAGGAGGAAGATTACATCTGGGCCTGCCCTCTTCAATAAGAAGTAAGAGGGCCACGCCTGTGTTAATGCCAGTACTGCTGGGAATAGGGATGGCTGGATCTACGGCCTTGGGAACCTCTGCCCTGATTTTAGCTGACAAAAACTCTAAAGATTTAAGTACTCAGATAGATGCGGATCTGGCCACACTTGAGAGCTCTGTTAATAAATTAGAAGAGTCCTCAGGCTCACTGGCTGAAATGGTTCTCCAGAACGGGCGAGGCCTAGACCTCCTATTCCTCAAACAAGGAGGACTTTGTGTAGCACTCAGGGAAACCTGTTGTTTCTATACCAATCATTCGTGGGTTACCAAAAACAGCCTGAGCCAGTTGAGAAAGCGCCTACAGGATAGAGACGATCAACGGAAATCCCAGTCTAACTGGTATGAAGGATTGTTCTCTATGTCCCCGTGGTTGACTACTCTACTGACCGCCTTGGCTGGGCCCCTGATACTTTTATTGTTAACCCTAACTGTAGGACCCTGTGTCATCAACTGTCTAGTTCGTTGTGTACAGGACCGAGTGCAAGCTGTCAAACTAATGGTATTGCGTTCCCAATAAAATGTGTTAGCTGAGGTGGAAGGAGAAACTGAGGAAACAAGGATTTGATTCCCCCAGAAAACCAGTGGGGAATGTGGTGAACACATAAAACAAATGAAAATTGCTGGGCTACTGGGTGGAGGAAAAAAATGTCAGTTTGACCCAAGAAAGAGAAACTG